GATGAAATTAACACTATATGGTGTTGTGATAAGGCCCAGTTTTACGATGGTTAAAGCTTTTGACGGTTCTCAAAGTTCAGTATTTTGAGAAGTGGGCCTTTATGTCAAGATCGGCCCACATATGTTCTATATCACTTTTCAAGTCATGGATATAGAACCAACATATACATGTTTAATTGGACGACCCTAGATTCATGCAGCAGGGGCAGTCACTTCAACTTTACATCAGAAACTGGTTCTTCTTTGAAGGGAGATTGGTTATAATCGATGGTGAAGAGGACATCTTTTTAAATCACATAAAGTCCTATAGATATATCAAAATTTATGAAGACTGTATAGCAACACCATTTCAAGTCTTAGAGGTTGCTTCAATGGTGACCCTACTGGTGGAAAAAATCAAGAAACATACTATAACTTCAAGGAGAGACTTGCAAATAGCTATGGAGAGTGGCACCTAAAAAGGTTGGGGTAAACTCCCGAAAATACCTTAGAAGACAAATCATTTTGTTTTAGGCTACGAATTATCAAAGGCTACTATGAAAGGCAAATCACGGTTTCCTCCAGTCCAGGAGACCTTCGTCAACAAAGGAGTAGAGCATGGCAGACAAGTGGCCATGATATCTGACAAAAGTAATACCAAGAAGGCATCTAACTTCATCCATGAATGCGTCCCAGGAAAAGAACTCAAGAATTGGACAGTTGTGGAGATTCTTGAGATCTTTTTCTTTTAAAGTAATTTTTTCTTGTTTTTGAAAGAACCTATGTCAAGCTCAAGGCATAGGTGTAGCTTGTAAGGGTCCCCCAATTTGCTTCAGACAGTATTCATAATTAATAAAAGTTATATTTCTCATTCAATTAAGGTCCCTGTCTTTCTCTTGCATTTATCTCTTATATTCAATGGCAATACTTCTCTTCATATGCATTTTCCAAATTCACATACTAAAACTGCGCCAAAACATGATAAATATGCAGATTCATGTCTAAAATCACCTATAACGTTACTGCTACTATCCGATATAATTTTGATGCACCCATCAACCAAGCGGAAGAGGAAGACAATGAAGATCTTGAACTCTCTAGAAAATTAGCGAGGGAGATAGAGTGGAAAGTTGACAATATACATCCAACCAAGAATCAATTGAGACCATTAAGCTTGGCACATAGGAAGATCCGAAAGAGATCAAGAAAAGTGCCAAATAAAAATGGATCAGGTTGTTACATGAGTATGTGGATGTATTTGCCTGGTCTTACAGGGATATGCTAGGATTAGATACAACTATTATGGTGCACAGACTTCCTCTCAAGGAAGGTTGCTCTCTAGTTAGACAGAAGCTTAAAAGAACTCGTTCAGACATGTCTAGCAAGATTCAAGAAGAGGTCCTTAAACAATTTAACGGAGAATTCCTAGCGGTGGTATATTATCCACCTTGGATAGCTAACATTGTATCAGTGCCCAATAAGGATAGAAAAGTGTGCATGTGTGTAGATTATCAGGATCTGAACAAAGAAAGTCCCAAAGAAGACTTCTCTTTACCTCACATAGATGTCTTGGTGGATAATACAGCTCAAGCTTCGGTATTCTAATTAATGGACGATTTCTCAGGCTATAATTAAATCAAAATGGCACCCTGAAACAAACGGTGGAAAATCATCAAAGATAAAATTCAATGAAGTCGCCATCCAACGTATTTTATCCCACGGGAAGGGAAAGGTAAACATTGAGAAAACCTGAAGGGGTGAAATCATGGTATTACGACCATAGAGATCGGGTAAGGAAGTCGATTATGCAAGGGGAAGGTATTAGCACCCCACACGTTTGTGGTACTCTATAGGATCCACTTATGTTTGTTCTGGTCTAAGGGTGTGAATTCTATGTCTTTAAAATCTTGAAAGACATAAGAGGGGGAATGCATGCAAAAGGAAAGAGAAAATAATGTAGGGAAAATAAAAAGTTGTGCTCGTTCGGGCCCTACCCCGATGCCTACGTATCCCTTTTAAGGAATCGGAGCAACCGCAGTTCAGCTTCAAATTTTTTGTTGGTTTGTATTTTTTTAATGAACATTATTAATTTAGCCTTCTTCCGCAACTCGATCTTTGGAGACTTACGCGTCATCACATAAGTGAATTAACATGTTCTTTTTAAAAGTTTGAAATAAAAGCCGGAAGGCAAAAAGAGTTTGTATCGGTTAGTGTTTTTGTTGTGAATAATAACTAATTGATCTCAAGATAGAGAGAGAGAGAGAGAGAGAGAGAGAGAGAGAGAGAGAGAGGAGAGAGAGAGAGAGAGAGAGAGAGAGAGGAGAGAGAGAGAGAGAGAGAGAGAGAGAGAGAGAGAGAGAGAGAGAGAGAGAGAGAGAGAGAGAGAGAGAGAGGAGAGAGAGAGAGAGAGAGAGAGAGAGAGAGAGAGAGAGAGAGAGAGAGAGAGAGAGAGAGAGAGAGAGAGAGAGAGAGATAGAGAGAGAGAGAGAGAGAGAGAGAGAGAGAGAGAGAGAGAGAGATTTTAGCCACTTCTCCATATTCATGAAAAGGGTCTTTGAAACTTGAACCATACCAAAGCCTAGAATGGAAGAATAATAAGATCGAGAAGAAACCCACTTATCATCTCCCATGCTCAACAAGGGTATGATTCTCATCAATAATTTTTAAGTGTTTTGAATTATTCCAGAAAAAAGAAGTTTTTGTTTTAATGCAAATGAAAAAGAGGAAAGAAAAGTCTAAGGGGGGAACTAGCAAAATAACCATAGAGTTGTCATGCATTACTGATCCTATAGTTGAGGATGAAAGGGGAAAATATCTACCTAATATTAGCATACATGGGTGCAAGCCTAAGGTCTATGCAACTCAATCTTTTGGAAAGGTTGATTTGGAGATCCTATGGGGAGCATATGAAAGGAGAGCTTAATAAAGAAGGAAGAAGGAATAGAAAAACATCACACAAAGAGATAACAAGACATCAAGAAGCATGTATCAATAATGGATGATGGATGAAGAGAGGTACGATAATACCTAACGGATAAGGTCTGTTGCCTCTTCGATACGCACAAGATAAGAAACTCTACTAAACGCCTCCTTGAATGTCCTTCATCAACCAATGATTAGGCATATCCAAGTTGCACCAATAATCGATTGTAGAATCATAGCACAAGTATCCAAGGTAAATGAAATTCTTGGAGTATGGGAGATAAATCGGGTTATGATTAACCAAGGGGTGTACTTGATTAATCTCGTGAGAGTAGGCGCTCCTACCCTCAACCATGAGACCATTTTGTTCTGGGAATACTTGGTGTATGGACCTAAGTGATTGATTCGGGCTATGATTAACCAAGGGCCATACTTGATTAATCTCGTGAGAATGGCCATGCCCAAACCAACTATGCAACCCTTTAAGAAAAGCTTGATATGTGGACCAAGAGGAGGTCATGCGTTTTAATTAGATGATACATGCATACTTGAGCAAGAATTAAAACATGCGAAGTAATAAAATTCTAAACTACAAAGAAATAAAATTCTAAGCTATTACAACCATAAGGGGGTGGGGTACAAATTTATGAATGGGAATGTATCAAGTCGACAACATGATTAAAAGCCTAATCAATCAAACAATTTATACTAAACAAAATATTAAGTAATTAATTAAATTGAACTATCTTATTTGATACCATTAATTAACAAAATAATTAATGATATCAAATAATATATTTCATGTATATTTTTGTATTATTATTATTTTGTTATTATTTGCTAAGAAAAGTATCAAAAAACAATACAAAAAGAATTATAAAGAAAAGAAGTATAATTGGGTCTGAAATGAGAAAAATAGGGAGGTGTTGGATAGCATTTTATTGAGCCCAGCAACATAAGCCATATATGGAATGCAACTGATCCCGTGTAGTGTATTCCAAGAGGTTCACGGTGAAGACGCAGCTAAGAACGTCAGATCTGGATCTAACGTGATCTGATGGTGATTGAGGTGAGAGTGCATTGTGTACTGACGGGGGAATACCTGCACAGAATCAGTGAGAAACCACAATGGTGGTGACAAGTGTCACCACCGGATTAGTGATTTCAATTAACACTATTAATCCACAAATTAACACAAAACTGTAACAAAAACAAAAAAATAAAATAAAAGAGATTAATTCTCTAATCTATTTCCTCCTTTGCTCAGACTCTCTCATTCTCTTTTCTTTATTGTTCACAGGAAATCGCCTACGGCGGAGGCAACGACAGCGGACGGTGATTTCGCTCTCATCTCAAATTTTCTTACATATTCTTTCTCGCCTCTCTCTTCTCGTTACTAATCTGTGACTCGATTTTGCAGATGACCAACGGTAGCGCATAGATCTTGAAAGGGATAAACGAAACTCTAGCGGTACCGATGGCGTTTTTGTGACAATGATGATGACCGGCGTTGGAGACGCCGCTTTTGAGTTCAAAATCGGTGAGACCTATATGATTTTTACTATTTCTTCTATGTTGCCTTTGTTTTGCTTGCGATTGCTTTTTTTTCCTTCATCTTTCTCTGTCTCTGAAGGGTTTGTAATAGGGAAATGATGAATAGATAAGGTTTGTTGTTCTTGATAGCTTTTTTTACTGTGATAATTTCTAAAATCTGAAGGGTTTTATGAATGAGGAAAGTGATGTTTTGAGAGAGAGCAGAGAGAATTTTGTGATATTTTTTCTATGATTCTTCCAATGATTGGAGAATCCCCCCATTATATCGTGAGCCTTCTGTTTATATAGTTGTTATTCCTATGAAAGTTAGTTAGAGCTTGAAACAAATATGAATTGTTAGATCAGAAGTTAGTTACAAGAATTGGAGGGTGAGGATTTGTTTGAAATGAAGCTTGTTTGAGAAGCTTTGCTGAGATGGAATATTAGTTATGAATTTTTGATAACAGGAGGTCTGTTTACCTTTATTTCTCACTTGTCCTTTTTTTATATTTTTCTAACTTTGGCATTTTGTACTTATGATTCAGTTTAGATGTTATGCAGGTTATTTACGAATAGTTCTTGAATAGCAGTATGTTTCTGTTTGTTGTTTGGGCTGCACAATTTTCTGCTATGCTTTCTTGTTTTGACAGAACCGTGAACTTTGCATACTTGCTGAATCGTGATGTTATTTTTGTGAACACTTGAATCTGATTTTGTGAAACAAAACCATTTATGAGGCTTTGGTTGTTGCTGAGCTTAAACATGATTGAAAATCACCCTTAAACTGATTCCTATGATAAGCCCTCATGATGACACTTGAAGAGAAATCTCTTCTTTTTGTGAAAGCTTGTTTCTGTTCATGTTTTGGCCTTTTGGTTTCTTACTAACAATTTCTTTTCTTTTTTTCATGAAAAAATGATGATAACAAGGCAGCAAGTTGATGAAGAGGATGAAAGAGGTGGAAGACTGTGGCATAGCTTGGAGTTTTGAAGGATTCGCCAAGATTTGAAGCTCAAGAGGCTTCAATTCAACTTGGATTTAGGGACTTTGTAGAATAGTGTATTCCTTAGGACAAACTTTTGTGTAACCTTTATTAAAACTTTTGTAACCTTAGAATTTTGGTGAATTTGTACTTTGGACATCTTGAACGAAAACTGTAACTTGACTTGTAAGTGTTAAAAATATGAATTCTTTGTAATCTTCAGAATTGAGAACCAAAGTCATGAGAATTTTGGGTATTCCTTGTAATTCCATTAATGATGAGTCTTGAAAGCTAATTCCATGGAAACTGGAAGTCTTTCTTTGTAATTGAGCTTGGCATCGAGAATTTATACCCATGCTAAGATTAAATTTATCTCCATATAGAACCTTAATCTTGAATGAACTTTGAAAGAAATCAATATGAGGTAGTGAACTTGAAATGCTTGAACAAGAACTATGAAACTTTGTAATTCTCGAATGCAACTTGCAATGATTTAAATTTGATTCTTGGTGTCAAAGAGAAATCATCCTGACAATGTGACTTAACATAGGCATATAAACTAATACACTCTCTTGTAACCTTTGATAGACAAATGTTAACCCAAGAAAACTCGCCCTTGCATGAATACAACAAATCCCAAATTAGTTCATATTCCAATATAAACCAAAACATGTGCGTCAAGCAACAAGTGATAGAAGGAACGAAGCCTTTAGCACAAAGAATTTTTAAACCCAACACATTATGGCTCACACTTGGTATCTTAAGCAAACAAAATCCTAACAAGGAGAAGCAATGCCTCTTGAGGAGAAAAGATCCATGATATGTGGCCATATCACAACCCTCATTTGGAACATAGTGAAGAATATTTTGAATAACAAAGTCTCATATGAGATGATGTTACTTCATAAACCTGATTCACACAAGCTTCAAATACTTTAACTAATCCACACCCTAATCCCAAGAGAAAAATCAGGATAACAAATGATTCACCTTACTACTTTGTAAGTTTCCAATTCTCTGATAAAACAATAAATCAACCTGAGATGTCATGAGGCAAGAAAAGCCCTGGTAGCTTGAACGATTGAAATAACAAGGATATGAAAGTCATCTTAGACTGATTGTCAACACAATCATTTTCTACATATTGAAGATGAATCATGAAGATACGACTACCTTGATCCTATCTCAAATGCATGAACATGTATGATGAAACACAAGCCATACAACTAAAACAAAGAGGGCAAATTTTTGGGTGCAACATCTGCTTCTATTTAGTCGTCTTAAACCTGAAGGTGAGATTGACGCCAGTCTTTCGAACTTTCAAGGTGGAAGAAGATTAAATACCAAAAGATCCCGAAAATTTGCACTTTGAAGCCAGTCAAGCATTATTATATTTTGGTTTTCTGTATATATATTTATTTTTTTGCTTTTTTGGATCGCAATAGTCATCTGGGTAAATCTCTTGGATTTCGATTCAAGGTTAGACATACACAAGAGAACTTGGTTATCAAGTGTTGTACCCCAAAATTTGCCCTCTCATTTCTCAAAGGATCAACCTGGACCCTCAAGTTTTCTTTCATCCAATTGCAAATCTGAAATTACAAATTTTCCAAGAAAGTCACTCACAAGGGCAAAATGGTCAAAAGCACACTGAAAAAAAAAGTCAAATTTTGACTCTTAAATCAAAAACCAAGTTTCAACAATTATATTTCATTAAGACATAAAATTGGTTCATCAAAAATCAGAAGTCAGAAATTACTTTGAAAAATCTTATTTTCTAAACATTTGGAAAATTTTCTAAGTGTTAAGAGGATATGATACTTCAGAACTTCTGAGTTAGCCTCCATGCAAGTGCAGTCAGAAGTTGCAAACATGGTTCATTCAGAACTTCTGAGTCAGCCTCTATGCAAATGTAGTCAGAAGTTACAAACACAGTTCAGAACATGACGCTTCAATCAGAACATGCAGAAGCGATGCTCTTTGGTCAGAACATGATGCTTCAGTCAGAACATGATTCTTCAGCATATGGAGGCTATGTTCAACGCTCTGGTCAGAATATTCCCCTTCAGCATTTGGAGGTTACGTTTCTGATCTTCTGCAATCAGAACATCACCAAATCCCAAGACCTCGTTTAAACAACCTACTACACTATTGCAGCACAGTACTCTAACCAGCAGTTAATCCAGTCCACGCCTGCATCTTCCCAAATAATGTATTTGTACCAAATACAAAAATCTGTGATCAAAAAGCAATGGGACAGTGTGCCAAAAAGTTTAAATCCCATTTGTTTTTCCCCCCAAAACTACAACAAAATCCATCTATAAATAAGTGGCTCCATCACACTTGCAAGGGGCTGGATTTTGGAGAGAGAATCGTCAAAAAGGAGAGAAAAGAAAGTTGTGATACCTCCTGTTGTACCCCAAAATTTTGCCTCGCATTTTTCCTCAAGAAATCACAGCTTCAGGCTTTTCCTGATCTTTCAAACTGGCTCAAGAATCGGTCAAACATACTTTTCTCGTCAGTCGGAGGAATTAGGGTTTTATTGATTTTCAGGGCTCTGGAATGTTTCACACAGTTGGTTTAGGATTTTTGTTGATTTTGGCTCAACTTTGATCAGACGAACGCTCTTTGGAATTTAATCCGGAATTAGGGTTTTTTTGGGCACGTTCTCAGAAGGATTTAAATTCTACAGCACTTTACAAGTTAGTCCGAGATTTGGGTTGAATTCGCATTGTTTGACTTAATCAGTAAAAAGAACGCATTTGGTTTGAACTCACATTCGTTTGATTGAACCAGTCAAAAGATCCATGCAGTTTGGATTTACAGTGTTTGGTAAAAATCAGTGAAAAGGGAATGCGCCTGATCAGTGTTTTGATTAACTGTTGCTTTGCTTTGGATATTGGAAATGCCAGGTTTAACTGCTCAAATTGCTAAAGCATCGTTTATTTAAATTATTTATTATTCTGAGATTAAGTGATTGGAATTTATTTTTCAATTATTTTAATTCAAAGAATTTTAAATAATAAATAAACAATAAAGGAAATAGAATTAATTGGATAATAAAAACCTTTATTAATTTTTAAATTATTCGTACAATTATTGTTTATAATTTAATTACAAGCAATGATTTTACATTAATTTAAATTTAAATAAAAAAGAAAACTATCCTAAACATTTTCTATTCTTCAATTCTTCATCTGCTATCATTTGCTCCCCTCCATTCAATTATTCATCTGCAAAAGGAAAAAAGAAAAGTCAAATAGCAGATAAATAAATAATAACAGATAAATAAAAGACAGTTCATCATTAAGGGCCACTGATTGGAATCAGTTAACCCTCTCTGCAAATCACGGGATTTCTCCCGGTTCACAAAGAGGGAAGAATTTTTATTTGCTAATCATGAATGCAAAAAGTTGAAAAAATGCAAAGTTTGCCAACATACTGCATAGTTCAAGTCTCAAACAAACTGCACAGTTCAAATCAAACTAAAAATCCAAATTCCAACTTTCTGTCAAAAGTGCTAAAAAAGTACAAGTTGCTGTCACAAGTACAAGAAGCTGTCAAAAGAAGATTTTGGAAAGATATCAAAGACTAGAAGCTGTCAAAAATAAGAGATAAAATATGCAGAGAAAAAGTGATATGCAAGCAAGCTATTTCATCATTTCCCAACTAGGTGGCCCTTTCAGAAAAAAGAAGTACAGCACAAACATAGTTTAATATATTAACTGTACTGAGAGAGAAGGAGAGAGATAGAAGAGCAGGCTTAGGCTTTAGGCTTGAGAGATAGAAAGAAAACATATACAAAAGCTGAACACAGTGGATAAAAGGAGGTAAACCAATACACCAAAAACAAGAGGCAAAAACCTGCTGAACCTGTCAAGGCCATAACCTGTCAAAGGCCTAACATGAAGCCTGAGCCTCAAAAAGCCTCACAACCTGCTAATATCCATCAAACACAAGCCTGCTGAGATCTCACAAACCAATACACTAAAGATATACAAAAAGCATAAGCCTTCAAGTCTCACAAAAAAGACCAACAATCTGAAAAACACATAACCTGTAAGCAAATCCAAGAAAGCCTAAAACCACTGTCAAGTATCAAAAACCTGCACATAAACCTCAAGCATTAAACCTGTTAAAGCATGATCCCTTTCCAAAAACACAGAACCAGTTCAAGCCTCAATCTCACCCTGCCTGAAGCCTAACAAAAAAACAGAAAAGCCTCAAGCCTCACCCTGCCTGAAGCCTAACATAAACCAGATAAACCCCAAACCTGTTCAAGTATCATACCTGCCTAAACACCAACACCATTCAAATCAAACCCCAGGAAACCAAACGCATACTCAGTGGTAAATCCAGGCCCTCAGAAAGTTCATCACAGGGCAATTCAAGGCAAATCAAATGGGCAACAGAAGCAAAATATCGAGGCAACCTTAACAAGCAGACAAAGTGGCTCAACAATAGCATTTCAAGCACATATTCAGGCCCTCAGAACCCTAGGCTCATCATGGGGCAAGGAAGAAGTAAATAGGAAACTCGAAGGCATCAAGACAACAAAGAGGAAGTGAATATCAAAAAGGCCTCAGAAATCCTCATCACAGGCAAAAGCATTCAAAGTCAAACCCTCAAGCCCTCAGTAAAAAAAACCATCATTGAGCAAAAGCATTCAATTCAAAGCCAACAAGAAGAAGCAACATGAAGGACCTCAGAAAAAACTTCATCATAGGCCAAGATACACAAAATAGGCGACATAAGTAAGCAACGAGGCAACAAGTCAGAAGAAGAGAGAAAATCAAAGGTATTCAGAAGCGTTCAAAGCATCTAGGGCAACAGTAGCAAGGCAATAGAGGAAGAGAAAAGACAGGGTACCAGGATACTAAGCAGTAGCTAACGCGCCTCCGCCTCTCCTTCCGTCCTTGGCCTCTGTAGCAACCATAACCTCCTCCTCCGTCTCCAGGTAACATGTCCCATTTCTCTTTCTTTCAAAACCTCAAACAAACATTAAAAAACTTGAAGTTAGAATCAACGGATTAGACAATCACAACATGCACAATTGTAACAAACCCTAACGAATTAAAATTGTTACTTAATTCTGTCTCCTTGACGCTGTCGTTGGAGGGAAGAGGAAATGGAGGAAGCTGGTGGCCTTGGGCTGAGGAAACACAGAGGCATGCATGAGGAAGACGAAGAAGAACACGAAACGATGAGCGCCGTTCTAACTAAATCCCTAACCTTTTTCTCAACTAACCAAAATATGTTTAACCCTAAGACAAAGTTTTGAAATGTCTTGGACCGGACTCATCTCAAATGCCTCAAGCCCAAACGAGCTGCTTATGCACCCCCCTGTCTTCAGTTTTGGTTTGGACCTAATGCCCTTAAGGCCCATTCAAAACTTAACCTTTTTTTGATATAAACCAGATTTTTTTTACATAACTTAACCTTAACCT